GAGAGAGAGAGAGAGAGAGGATTTGCATTTACATAAAAATATAGAGCTATACGTTTGAAGAGACTTTTGAGAGGGGAAGCCTCTTGGTATCTTATTCTCTCGGTTTGGACTTGAAAGCTTAAAAGATTTAGGCCAGGGGTAGGCAACCTTGGCTCTTTTATGACTCGTGGACTTCAACTCCCAGAATTCCTCAGCCAGCTGTGCTGGCTGAGGAATTCTGGGAGTTGAAGTCCACGAGTCATAAAAGAGCCAAGGTTGCCTACCCCTGATTTAGGCAGTCTATAATCAGGCTTCGACAAGTCTTTTCAGAATGAAATTTTAATTTCAAGTCTTTCCTCCTCCTCCGTGTGGGTGTCTGTTTTGAGACCCGCATTCAGGTATCCACGTCCATGAAGCTTAAAATTGACTGCATTTAGGCTGTTAACATTGAGTCTTAGCCCAGCTTACCTCACAGACTGATTACTATAAGAACAAAATAAAGAGTGACCCTCCCCCCGCTCTCCCGTCACCATCTACGCCCGCCTGGAAAATAAATGGAGAATTAAAGAGAACAACCGACATTCGTGCCGCGGGGTCTAATTCTCTTCATCGAAGAGAAACTCGGAAATCAACTCTCTGCGCGACTCTATCATTGGCACTCTATGTCCTAATGAATCTGGACCAATGAGAAGCCACATATATAGAGGCCGGCAGAACCTCCGTCCGCGTTTCTCTTCCTGGCTGCAGAGCGAGTGGTGCGTTGTAGACTCAGGAGTTGGACCTGGCTTGAAGGGGTGAGACGCGGAATAGATGGGGCGGGCAGCCTTGCACAGGGAACGGCAGGAGAGGCTTGACCAGGGGTAGGCAACCTCGGCTCTTTTATGACTCATGGACTTCAACTCCCAGAATTCCTGAGTCAGCATAGCTGACTCAGGAATTCTGGGAGTTGAAGTCCATGAGTCATAAAAGAGCCGAGGTTGCCTACCCCTGGGCTTGACTATATGGAAAGGGGGAATTCCTGGAAAATATGACTTTCCTCTTTTTTTAAAAAAAAAGAAAAAAGGAGAGAAACACTATTCTCTATGCACTAAAAAGGGAAAAAGCAAATTTTCGAAAGTTGACTGGATATGTTGGTGGATGGCAAATATAAACGAGCTTTACAATTTAACAGGTGTTTTATAGTGCAGGCAGTCCTCGACTTGCAACAGTTGACTTAATGACGGTTGAAAGTTACAATGTCCCTGAAAAGAGTGACTTCTGTCCAGTTTTCACACTTAACAACCATTGCAGCGTCCCCATGTTCACATGATCAAAATTTCGATGCTGGGCGACTGGCCAGCCAAGATTCACTTAATAGTCCTGTTACTAATTTAACAACTGCAGTAATTCATTTAACAACTGTGGCGAGAAAAGGCGTCAAATGGTGCAAAATTCACTTAACTGTCTCACTTTGCAACACAGGTTTTGGAAGTTGAGGACTACCTGTGTAAGCTTTCATGCCTTAGTAGGGTTGCCAGGTGTCCACTATTTGAGTGGACAGTCCACTTTTTTCACATTATGTTCACTATTTTTTTTCACAAAATAGTGGACATTTTTTTTATTCAAAAGCTTTATGATGAAATGGTACGTAATCTAAAGCTGTACAGTCTACTTTTTTTTACTACTTAACCACCACCACCCCGCTTGTCCGCTATTTTTTGGAAGCAGACCTGGCAACCCTATGCCTTAGATCAGGGGTGTCAAACTCACCACGTCATGTGACGTGTCATGACGTATCATGACTTTTTTTCTCCCTTGCCGGAGCTGGGGTGGGCGCAGCTTCCACGTGACGCATCAGGCACGTGGGCCAGCAGTTTGACACCCCTGCCTTAGATCAGTGTTTTTCAAACTTGGGCACTTTAAGATATGTGGAGTTCAACTCTCAGAATTTCCTTATGGGGAAAGGGTGGGCATAAAATAAATTCCCCAGACAGACATGCAGGGGTGTGGGAGAGAGCTCTGTTGCAGCCAAATCCATCAGAGGCCTGTGTTGCTCTTTTAAGATGCAGTGATATGAGACTGATTATTTTTAAGCCAGATTGCATTTTCATGGCTATGTGTCCATGTTCTTGAGAATTTCTTTTTGTTATGTTTTTCTTTTTCATCAACAGATACAAAATAGTCAGTTGAGGGTTATATTTCTGCATTTGGTTCAGTGGTACCTAGTCCATAAAAGCACATTACTTCTATTGATCTGTAATATGTACCAATATTTCATTTTTAATGGCAGATTTTAGATATTTTCTGTAATTACAAATAATGAACTTTTCAGAAGCAAGCTACCTCCAGCAGTTCCTTTGCTTTTGGTTCCATTTTTCATTTCATTTTTCCTATTCTAGCAGCCTTAACGATTGTGTTAAGAACTCCCAGTATTCTGGCCAGGGTTTCTGTCTGAACTGAAATTGTAGCCACAAACATCTGGAGGTTATAAGATTCAGGTAAGCTGCATTACTTTTTGCCCTGTGTGTGTGGTTTGTATAGAGCTTATGTTTGCTAATGGAAATGTGGGTTAGACAGCATCACCACTAGATGGATTTGTAGCTGGCTAACCAGCCATACTCAGTGTGTGGTCCTCAATGGAACTGCATTTACATGGAGGGAAGTGTATAGTGGGGTGTCCCAGGGCTCTGTTCTAGGCCCAGTGCTCTTCAACATCTTCATCAACAATTTGGACGAGGGGATCGATGGGGAACTCATCAAATTTGCAGATGACACCAAGCTGGCAGGAATAGCCAACACTCCAGAAGACAGGTTTAAGATACAGGAGGATCTGGACAGACTTGAACACTGGGCGCTATCTAACAAAATGAAATTCAATGGTGAAAAAAGTAAGGTTCTATATTTAGGCAAGAAAATCCAAATGTACAGGTATATTATAGGTGGTACCTTGCTCAATAGTAGTGGAGTCCTAGTGGACAATCACTTAAATATGAGCCAGCAGTGTGCTGCAGCTGCCAAAAAAGCCAACACAGTGCTAGGTTGCGTCAATATAGGGATAGAATCAAGATCACATGAAGTGTTAATACCACTTTACAAGGCCTTGGTAAGGCCACACTTGGAATCCTGCATCCAGTTTTGGTCACCACGATGTACAAAAGAAAGAGTACAGAGAAGAGCAACAAAGATGATTAGGGAACTAGAGGCTAAAACATATAAGGAACAGTTGCTGGAATTGGGTATGTCTAGAGAAGGACGGGGGACATGATAGCAGTATTCCAATATCTCAGGGG